CTGTGATGAACTTGAAAAAATAGATCATTTTTTTACCTGCAGGCGGTTTAACACGTTACGAAAAATCCTTTTAGAAATACCTTCACGTGGTATTGATATGAATTTATCTGTGCCTGTCATTTTGTCTTTTGGAGCCTCCATTTCTCGGTTCTATATTGCGACAGTATGCGTGACCGTCTGGGATTATAATAATGAAACTAATAGGTTGACTAATTGATCTGCTTCATTATCCTAACGTGTCTGCAAAATTATATACGAATAAAAATCAGATTATTGCTCTATTCTAAGAATAAATTTGTTTCTTTATTTAAATATTTATATGCATTAAATCAAGCACCACGATTTCTTCGGTCATCTGTAATCTTTCTATTATATCTTCATTATTCTAAATCTGAACAATAATCTTTAAACTACTCGATTCTTGGCCGATCCCCCATAGTGGATATGTGCCACGGACAATAGGTGAACAAGAACAAGAACAAGAATCCTGGAGGGCAAGAGAGTTGGCAGTTCGAAGCGAATGAGGCAATATGAAAGCCGTAGCTGGGAGCTGAAGACGGGCAGTCGGGTGGTGAACCCGAGCCGTCTGGACTTCACCCGGCTCGGGCCTCCGGACAGTGAGTTCCAGAGACTGCGAGCTACCGCAACATTCGAGAGCAAAGCCTGCAGACTGCGGTGTGGGTGCAGCAACAGCAGTTGGGTCATGGGTCTGAGCCTTGTATCCAGTCGCCTCATCGGATGGATCTGGGCCATCACAGGCGTCACTGAGCGAGCCCCGTACCATTGCCGCTACCAGCGAGCGTCGATGCACGCCACCATTTAAGCAGCAACGTTTTGGTGAACTTACTGTTTTTCCTGCTCTGCCGAATCAGAGCGTCAGAGCTGCACCAGGTAGCTGTGACTTTCAGCTGACATTTTGGGGACATTAGATGTTCTTGTTTATTGAGATAACAATTATATGGACAGTCTAGGCTGAATTTTTTCGCCAGCGTTGCCGTCACTTGCCGCATATGTATACGTATTTATATATATGAAAATGCAAAAAAGAAAACTACTCCGCCGCGCGGAGTAGAACGCGGGACCTCTGCATCGAGGAAGCGAGGCGTTAACCACTAAGCCACCCCGGAGCACGTCGTTCACCTTTCAAATGGCAAGCTATTTATATTTACCACTTACGGCTGCTCAAGAGCATATAAGGGGGGGGGGGGATTGTGTTCTTAGTATTACCAGCAAGATGACGCGTTGAGCGCGCGTCGCTACATCGCGCGGCGGCGCCCACTCTAATTTCCTACGTGTACTTTGCCCGTCTTAGAGAAAGGGAGCAACGCTACCTCGCGCGCCCTTGTCTCGCGGTGGCGAGGAGGGGAGGATCGTACATCTTGGCTAGCCTCGGGCTTTACCTGGAACAATTCTGCTGTAGTTACCGGGTGCACAAAGGTCACTGCAATCATTGCAGTCTCCATTTGCGAAAAGCGTGCGTTTCATGACACAGCGAAGTAACAAATAAGACGCTTATTCGCGTGCACCCGTACCTGTGCGTTTCGTGCGTCATTTGTGAGTGAGAAACGCGGGGCACGTTTTCGATCTGCTTTCAATCTGCGCGTGACCTTTCAATTTGTCGCTATCACGTTCATTGCTTCGCCTTTGAGGCAAAAGCTGTGACTTTTTTTGTTTTAAAGCCAACCTTTAGCTAAGTACTCATTTTCTTGTTGGTTGTGCTGAATTTTCGCCTTAGTTCTGAAGTAAATGCTTGGGTGTTGCTTGTTAAATGAACGGCTTTGTCGTTATTAGTAAACCTCTCAGAGGCTCATTCCAGGAGAAATAAATCAGCAGTAAGAACCTGCATCACAGTGTCCAATCTGATCAGTGAAAAGATTAAAAGAAAGTGGGCCCAATAGAGGGCGGAAGTAAACAAAAAGGATAGAAAGGCAGCTGCAATGTTTTGAAACAATCTCGATTCTCTGAGTAATAAGACAAGCATAGAACAGAGGTTTATAACTGCAGTTCCAGGGGTTAGACAAAGAGGAGATGATGCAATGAAATTTATAAGATTAATGACGACAGAAAAATTAAACACCAAGAAAACGCTGCGTGCATCATACTAGATGAAAATGGACCAATTAGCGCGGTGACTCTACTGAGATTGGGAAAGGGCAGACAAGATGGTTCCTAATAGCAGATCAACAGGCCCTGACGGCATTTAAAATACGCTAATAAAGAAACTAGGACAAAACTCTATGCAAACAGGCAGCGAGCGAAGCAATAATGGATGGTGAAGTCCCCAATGGATGGAAAATAAGCAGGGTGAGCATGATCTATGAATGAAAGGGGGCAAAGCTGATATAAACAACTACCGTTCAATAACAGTGAGGTTTGTTTCAGGTTGGTGATGCAGATAGTAAAGGAAAGACTACAGACACGGGTGGAGAGTTAGGCGGTGCTGAGAGAACTACAAAACGGGTTCTGTAAACGAACGAGGTTGGAAGACAATCTGTTTTCATTGATGCAGAGCATTGAAATAGCGAAAAAAGAACTCAGGTCTAGCGAAAAAAGAACTCAGGAATGGGAAGAACAGCTTCGCGGGCTTCGACAGGGATGTATCTTGTCACCTTTGTTATTTATGTTGTATCTACAGAAACTAGAAGCCAAATTAGAGGCGAGTCAACTCGGCTTCAGCCCCTTTTTTGCCAATTAAGCAAGGGAAACACGTTGAACAGTCATTGCCAGCATTATTATTTGCAGATGATATAGTACTAATAGCGGAGAGCAAGAAATATCAGCAGGGATTGAGAGACATCTGCGGTAATGAGAGATATAGGTTAAATTTAAAGTTCAGTATAGGAAAAAGCAGCGATCATGATACTTAATGATAACGAAGGCAGTGAGCATAAAATACAGGAAGTCAAGCTAGAAATAGTGGATAACTACAAATAGTTGGGCGTATGGATAAATAACGGGGCTGAGTACCTGAAAGAGCACGAAAGATACGTAATGATAAATTGTAACAGGAATCCAGCTGCGATAAAAAATAGGGCACTGTGGAACTGCAATAGGTATGATGTTGTGAGAGGGATTAGGGAAGGTGTCATGGTCCCGGGTTTGACGTTCGTCAATGCGGTCTTGCGCATGAGAACCTAGGCTCCAGCAAGATTGAAAAATAAACAACGTGGCATACGTAGACTTGCTTTGGGAGCACACGGGAACAACCCAAATCAGGGAGTACAAGGTGATATGTCATGGACATCATTCGAGGGAGGAGAAGCTAGTAGCAAGATAAAATTTTAGAAGCGATTGAGATAAATGGGGGAGGAGCGTTGAGCTAGTAAGGTTTTCAGCTAGTTGTACATGAAGAATGTCGATACAAAATGGAGGAAGCGAACCAGAAAATTGACGGGTAAATACTTAGAAAACAGCAGGGGGCCAAACCAAAAAGAACTATCAGTTAAGGAGAAGGTGAAAGAAACGGAGTAGGACATGTGGAGAATTGGCGTCATTAAGAAGTCCGCGCTAAAGATCTATGAAACTTTTAAGCAGGAAATTGTAAAGGAATGGATCTATGATAATACTCGGGATAAGGCCAGGACGAGAGTATTGCGAACCAAGACATATCGGGCCAAATACGAAGGGGTAGACATGGTATGCGGTGCATGTGGAGAGGTGGAGGAAACTGCCGAACACTTGATAATGTTCTGTAGAGGGCTCCACCCTGTAGTCCAAGATGATGGCTCGCAGTTTTTCAACGCATTTGGGTTTACGGACAGTGAAGGCAAAATAAACTTTAAAGGGTAGAAATAACCATAAGGAGGTTAACTGATTGGTGGCTACAATCAAGGCGCGAGTGAAATTCAATACTTCAACACATAGTGGTAGTACTTAACCTTATGGCTAGGTGGCGTGAGCTGCCACCCGATCTAAAGGGCACAGCCGGATACATCTATCCATCCATCCATCGTCGGTTTTTGATGGCCCGCACGATCACGTCCTCGAAGTTGATTTGAAAGAATGGGAAGGGAACAAGAAAGCGTGTCGTCGTGATTAACTCTCTCTCAGAAGGTCACCTCAAGAACGCATCACGGGGGATGGGTAGTGGGAGAGAGAAATGACTATGAAAGAGAAAGCTAAAGAGGAAGGTTTCAGTTCTTCCTCCATGGTTTCGGTAGTGTTTGGTCTGGCCGCGCGCGACCGCGCACCGTCTCCGAGACGGAAACAGAAAAAAAACCTAAGGCAGGCTGAGAAGGCGAGGATTGTCACTTCGTAGGCACTGAAGCACGTGACAGGTTCCTACGATGAGTGTTACGGACGGATACCGGTTATCTCAGAAGCCTGCCTGCTCTCAACTCTGTTGAAGAATGCCTTATAGATCTACGTCAGCCTTCAGGACGCTGCGTCATGCTCCCTTAAGGGCTGCAGAAATTATGTGTATCATCCTACCTCTAACCTCAACCACCACCACAATTTCAAAGCGTTAGGCAATGCATTCAAGCAAGAGGCCAGTATGGCATAAAGGAGCATGTGGTTTACATCATGATCGACGTCCCAACACTGTACAGTGCCGGTAACGGAACGTGTCCAAAAACGCTGGCTTCGACGTACACAACATACGCCGGCTCGTTAACAAACCTCCCTACGAAAATGGTATTGCCAAGAAACGTCCCGTACATCTCCGAGCAGGCTGCTCTGACATCATTCACTCTTTGGGTATATCGGTGATTTTTTTTGAAGGGGGGGGGTGATACTACAGCCATGCAACAAGATTTGCTTTGCCACTATGAGTATGTGTCATTGGAAGAAAGAAGAGGGGACAAAGAAAAAGAGAACTGGATGAGGTCATGTTTGTTGTAAACGGTTCGGCTCGACGTTCAGTGCTACGGTGGACCGAGCTTTTCCTTTATTGTTAAACATTATTATTTTTTTTGTGCAAGGGCTGGGTAGCTGGGTGCTGGTGCTGCTGCGTGCCGGTTGCTGGTGCCGCATAGCCTATTTTGGTGCCTCGACGAAGTTCATGGTCCCATGGGGCGACTCCCAAGACGCAGCCCCCAGCAGGCCTGGTGCGTAGGCTGGTATAGAGCGGAGTACGGGTTGGCCATCGCGGTCGTCGGCGCGTTGTCGGGGCCGTATCCTGGGACACACGGCATGGCGCAGACCGTGTACCAAGCCTGCATCGGTGGCGTCGTTTCTTGAGGACTGGGCGTAGCTGTTGACTCCGGGGCGCAGCACATCATTTTGCGTTCGAGGTCATCCTGCTTGTATGATGCCGCCGCGGCCCCGACGACGCCACCTCGGTGCAATCGCGGCCGGAAGGGTCCGATTCCGCGCGCCAATCTCGAATTTTTTCGAGCCCGCTCGACCCGAAGCAGCGCGCCCTTGACGATAGCACCATTCATCTCGCGCACCACCTCGTCTACGCACGACACGTTTTCGAACTCGACGAACGCGAAGCTCGGTGACTTCTGCGCCATCCACACCTCCTTGAGTTGTCCGTACTTGCCGAACTCGTGCTCCAGGTCGTCGCGGGTCATGGTGCTGTCAAGGCCTCCCACGAAGAGGAGTCCAGACAGTGAGCTGCTCCCTGGAGTGGTCGAGCTGTTCATGGTGACGGTGGAGGACAGTTTTGCAGGCTGCTCGCCAACGCCACGGTGTTCTTAAGGATGATGACGATCTTAACGACGAGCCGCTGCTTCTTCTCTTTCTACTCGGCCGATCCCCTGCATTGCATTCATACGCAATGCAGGGGATCGGCCGAGTAGTCGGTGAATTTTTGCAGCATTTTTTTAAAAGTACTACTATTATAAGCTAGAACTAGCTAATATAGCGCATTTAGGTACGAATCATTATTGATATTTCAAAAATGAAAAATTTAGCTAGATATTTTTAACCTGTTTGATAAATTTCTCAATAGCGAAGAAAACATTTCTGTGGCAGTAGCCCAGAATAGAGGCGCCGAAAGAAAGAGCACTTAATTCTGAAAATTCCAGACCCAAATTTCGAAGAGGAGGTATTATGAATTTTTGCCTGATTGACCTGAACCGCCGACAAAATAGAGAGTAATGACTAATAGTTTCTTCCTCATTACAAAAGAGACACTATCATCGTTCGACCAGCTCTATGCAGGTAAGAATTCGAGGAGGTGACGCGGCAGCGAAATTTGGTTATAACCACTTCCATTCCTCTCGACGATAGGTCATTGCGCCAGTGAAATAAAAGATCTCTATATTCTGGAGAAGCTAAGACAAGGTCTGATGAGCTTTTTTCTGATTGTTAGTGGGCGGAATCTTGCACTTGTGAGGTATGCTGTTAGCGGGAAACCCCTTATGATCGGCGCCGAAAGCGCCGCCTTTGCTAAGGAATCAGCGCTTTTGTTTCAAAACAAGCCTCTGTGGCGTGGTGCCCAAAATAAATATAAACATCGAAGGTGAGCGGTAACTACTACATCAAATAGCTTTAGTAAAGGCGTTTCACCACATGCGGGAAGAAAAGAGCATCCAGAAAATGAGTCGGTGATAAAAGCAGCAACTGTAAATGAAGTGCATAACATTCACAAAACTAATATGGCCGTAAATTGAGCTGTAAAAACAAGAATAAAGTCAGGCAGCCGTAATGAAAAAGACCACTCAAGTTTAGTGTGAAATTTTCCAATCCCAGCGTTTTTCTCTCATTGCAAAGAGTCCGTGTCAATAACCACATTCAACAATGGTTTGGCAGATTGTTCAAGTGCTAACGATGATAATGATGACGACGATGATGATGATGATGATGTCTTAAATATGGTTCATGTCTACTCTGGGGGATCAGTCAAGAACTGATTACATGAGTTAGACATTTTCAATATTGAATATTCATGAGAAAAGTAATGTACGCGTAAAATGAAGAGTGCAATAAAAGGTTTTCTCCTGTTCGCACTGGACACTATAGTTATTATCTTGACTACAAATTAACGTGCTTGAAAAGAATTTATACTAATAAGAATCATAGTTGAAAAAAAGAACTTTATGTTAAACTATATATAGCTGCACTAATAAAACACAATTAGTAAGTTCAAATATCATTCCTTTTGTTTCGTGCAGGTAAGCACAAACAGCCTCAAAAACGTTCTTGTGGCTTACGCCCAAAGGTGAATCACCGAAGATACTTATATTGTCAATTGATAAGTTCAGCCCCAGCTTAGAGAACGAAATAACAAGCGTTTTTCTTAGTTATCTGTACTGGTGACGTGATAAAAGATAATGTTCTATTGTTTCAGGGTCTAAACAAAAGTGGCATAGAGGAGATATCACCAGACCAGCTCTGTCTCAATACAAATTTTGCGAGGGGACACGACAACGTAATCTAGTTAATGCGACTTCGGTCAAGAATCTTGTTCTTCTTCTTCTTGTTCACCTATTAACTGTGGCACATGGACGTCAGATTCTGCCTAGGCAGCGCTACGAAAAACGCCTAGAGTGCCTCGATGCCATCGATGCACCCGAAAAATGCCGCCACTATCACCGCGCCTGCCATCAATGGGTAGAGAGCCGTCCGCAAGCGAACGTGCATATGCCCCCCTCCTTCGTTCGTCTTTAGGCGCGGTTTACAGAAAATCGAGGGCCTGGCAAGCTTCTTCCTTCAATTCAACCTCGCTTCTGAAAAGTAGGAAGCTCATCGAAACGAAAAGCAGGCGCATTGCAAAAGATGTTTCAGTTCTTTCGGCGTGCTGCAACTGGCAATTTAACTGCAAGCGAGCATTGCATGACATTGAGATCGAGGCATGCACTCCAACGTGCGTTCTGTAACGCCTATAGATGCGCTAAATCTGGGCATACACATGATGACAAAGCGTTGAAGTGTGTACAAAAGCAATTTAACGATCAGTGGTACGAAAGCCGCTTTATCCAGCACGAATGCCACTGGTGATTTTCGCTTTTGCAGTTGCTTTCTCCATCGATCTCTCGCTTACTGTGCGTTGCACTGTTTTAATACGCATGCTAGAATGTTCTGTTGACGATTGTATTCCATTTGTATATACTGCAAATGGAGATACATGCATGTTCACCTTATCGGTATAATGAAAGGAAGAACCAATGCCTCCGAAATAGCTTCGAAAATCGCGGAGACATACGAAAAAAAAAAAAAACCCTGATTGTAGTCGCGAATATTTTGTGATTTAGCTGTATGATGCATGTGCTCGCATTTCCTAGTTAAAGCCAGGACTTAGAGCCTTCAAAGCCCTACGTGCGTAATGCTGTGTAATGGTGGTAACTTCAGATTATCAGTGGTCGCAGCGTGCACGATGTTTATCACGTGCGTCACCTGTCTAATGTTGCACGACGCGCACCGTTGCGAGAGGTCCTGTTAAGCTTCATAATTAAAGTAACCATGGTGCTCCGTCAAAGCTACTGAAAATAATAGCAGGAGACCTTCACTATCACACTCTCATGCGAACAGGTGTAGAGAAAGGGAGCAATTCTCTTACTCAAAACCTTCGCGATTGCCTGTATCAGGCGCTCTAGCTATTCTACTTCGCGAAAACTGCAGAAATCAGTGAAACTAAAGTCCTTTACGTCGGTGGCAATTGACAACGCAGCAGTAGCGTCGACTGGGGTCTCTTTGCGTAGAGCGCGAAGCTGTTGCACCTGCTCTTGTTTTCACTGTCTTACTGGCGAGTGAACCAGCAAGCACTTCATGGCGATTCGGTGACGCGTCCGACTAGTGAAGGAAAATTCGTGACTTTTTTTTAGTGTTCAGTACGTAAATAACCTAATATTTACCTAAATCATTGATTCGTAGGCTGTACTTGCACCTGGTTGCGAAGCAAACTGTGCAAGAGAGTTGGGCTTTGCACTACTCAAAAATGCGTCGACAGGTGGCGCTGCATGGCCACTAAGGTTGTTCAGAGCACCTCTGGGTTCGGGGCACAGTAGGTGGAAAGGAAACGTGGCTAGGGGTAGCCTACTTGTGGACGGGGAATAACTGCAGAGAAAAGAATCAGGAGATAGTGGATTGCATGAGTGCGGATATTAAGGAATTTGGTAATGGGGCCGAAATCATCCTTCTAGGGGACATGAATGCCCACATACATGACCTTGACGGATATTCAGACACCAATGGGAAGTTATTACTAGATCTTTGCGAGCAACATAGTCTGGAGATAGTTAACACGGGGCCTAAATGTGACGGCCAGATCACATGGGAAGTCGGAACAAGCAATCAAGTATTGATTATTGTCTCATGACTGAAGGAATTTACCACAAACTGACAGAAATGAGGATAGACGAGGAAGGCATTAACAGCTTGGGTAGTGATCATAAACGAATAACATTACAAATGGGATACGAAACTAAAAATATGAGCATGGAATCAAAGTCTGGCAGCTCGTATTTAAATGACAAACAAATAATAAATATAGCCGCAAGGAGTCGAGGAAGAAGTAGGCGAAATACCAGGCAAGGACTGGGAGTATAGTGAGCTGTTACATCTAATGACCGAAGGAGATAGGGAAAGAGAAGAAAACTGTTTGCTGGAAAGGAAAAAGGAAGCCAAAAAGTTGGTGGAACAAGGAAATCCGGGAGGCGATCGAGAAGCGACGCGAAGCATCACGGGAGCATAGAAGGCAAAAAAGGAAAAGCGGCCGCAGGACGAAGTCAAAAAAATATGGGAAATATATTTAGAGAAAAAATCCCTTGTACAGAAATTGGTAGAGGCAAAAATTAAAGGTGAAAGTGAACGCTGGATGACAGAGATACACGAAAAAAAGGAGGCCGCGCCTAGGATTTTTTGGAGCCACATAAAGGCGCTAGGTAGGAAGTCTGTCACAACGCAACAACATATTCTAGATGAAAGAGGAAATCAATTGGAAGGGTACGAAGCGCTAGGTTACATCCAAAAGGTAACAGCCGATTCGTTTCAAAAGAGCGTCCAGGGGATCTCCCCGGTGAGTAAAAGTGTGGCGGAGAAAGCAACAGAGGAAGAGCTAGTACTTGATAATTTCAACTGGAAAAAGGCTGAAGGAAAATTCCAAAGCGCACTGCCGCGGTTTAGATGGGATTCCCGTTAGCCTCATTAACGAACTAGGACATAACACTAAAGAAGCATTGTTAAAAGCAGTAGAAAAAAAGCTTAAAGGACGGACAAATACCGGACAGTTGGCGACAAAGTAGAATGAACTTAATCTATAAAGGCAAGGGAGAAAAGGACAAGATTCGCTCGTATAGACCACTAACCATTACATCGGTACTATACAGGATGGCGATGCAAGCAGTAAAAATGAAAATAGAAACATGGGCCGAACATAACAATATTTTGGGAGAACTTCAGAACGGATTTCGAGTCGACAGGCGGTTAGACGATAACCTGTTTGTTCTCACTCAGTGTATAGAAATATCTAAAATAGAGAATAGGCCCTTGTACGTGGCTTTTCTAGACATCACTGGGGCATACGACAACGTTAATCAGGAAATTTTGTGGAATATATTGAAAGGAATGGGCATGGGCGACGACTGTATACAGCTTTTGAGGGAGATATACCGAGAAAATACAGTTTGCATAGAGTGGGAAGGAATGCGTAGCAAAGAGAACGTTGAGGTTAGCAGGGGTCTGAGACAGGGATGTCCTTTGT